TATAAAATGGTAATTGTTGATAAATGTGCCCCCTACTCTAAAGCAGTTAACAGATATGCAGGGTGGAATTTCCACCTTCAAAAGTGATGACAACCCACACCAGAAGAATACTATTACTCCAAAGCATAAAAGCTGCACTTCTAAAAAATGTGTTTATTGACTCATAGTAGATACCTGTCCTAGGCAAACACCAATCCAGGAAAGCCTATAGTCTACAAGTGTTAACTACAATCTCTTTCTCAATAATCTAGATTAGTCAGGAGTGTTATTAGATGTGGTTATTTTACAATGCAAAGAAGGTGGAATTTTCAGATCTAATCATCTCTTTAACTGCCTTCAAATCATGAGTTACTTGCTAGGTCCTGGGGCTGGTACAGAAGAGGGCTGGGACCACGTTGCCTCAGGACACCATTCAGAACAAATATACCTGGTGTCCCTGCAGCTGCTCAACACTGGCCATCCTGAGTCTAATCCTAAGTGACTTCTAAATGCTCAGATTTTACATTAAATGACATTTTAAAAATGGTCTTTGAATGTATCATGCAAATACTATAAGTATCAGAAATTCAAAGGGACTAAAGGTGCCCAGATGGGAGTTCCTTGGCTAAATAAATATATATAAAAACACAAACATCCTATAGTCTTAGCAAAAAGAACTTAACAGATAAACTGGAATTCAGAATTCAATTAATACTCATACTTTCTTTGGAAATAATATACACACATATCTGCTTTTACCTTTTTTATTTTCCCAGGGTCTATTTTGTGTTTGGGCAAAAAAATTTTAAGAAGTGTCATTCTACTTTTAGACTTATGGTTGATATGAAGAACATATATGATCCTTTAGAATAATAGATCGATACTGCTATAAAAGCATCTTAGGGAACCTGCCTACCCTGAATCACACAAAGGTAAATTATGTAATCAACTTTTACTAATGGCGACAAAAGTTTTGAAAGACTATGGATATAATTTATCTAGGCTAGGCACAGGCTAGAACCAATCTGATTCAGTTCTGAACTGGTCTGAAATCATCACATCATACCCGCCCATAATTTACATGTGGCATTCGCTCTGTGGGTTTCAATAATGCCATCTTCTCCAGATTTCTACACGTCTAAGTGATTTTTGTTGGAAGACAGGGAAAACTGAGTAAGTACTTAGGACTATAAATTGCATGAAATTAGACAAAGTGATGCTGTAGTTTGAGAACTATGTGAACTTCATAAAAGGTCCAGGTGAATGGTAGTTCATTTTAGATAAGAATAGTCACAATAAACACATGGTCTGGCATAGAGTGGAGGGGATAAAAGAACAGAAAATAATCACTACAAAACATTTATTAATGGTGAAATTTCTTTTAGATACTCTCAACTTTTCAGTTCATAGAAGCAAACTGAAAAACATTTTAGTATCTATAAGAAAATTTATATTATTAGGATAAGTTGCTACTTATTTCCAAGTTCTTAATTCATTGATTCAACAAATATTTATGCACCAGGCATTTGTTAGACTCTGGGGATACAATGCTGATCAGCTCCCTGTTTAATGGAATTTAGATTATTAGAATAACCAATAACAAACGTCACGTCAGTAAATGTATGTTATAAACTCGTTAAATGCAACAGGCAATGTCTTGGGAGAATTTAGTCCCCCAAGCAGGGCTAGATAAGGCTTTTCTGAGGAGTGATGAGGTCAGAAAGGTGGCAGGGATTTAACAAGGGACAAGTTAAACTCATCGCCGCTTGCATCATTAAAATCTTGATGAAATTTAACATCCAAGATTACAGCACTTCCATGAACACTTAGCTCAGGACTCACAGAGCCCTTGTACTGGGGTTGTTTCCTGGGAAAGAGAATTCAGGTGTTGGTGAGCCTTAACTAAGCAAGATTGCCCCTAGCAAAGACCACAGAGCTCCGCTAAGATGTGGCCAAGTTAGGAGAAATATAAAGATTTTACTGGCAGTGGATGGTATAATGGCCAGTGTAGATGAAGCACAAACTCATAGTTCTCTAATCTCTGGTTTTGAAAATGTTGACAAAATCCAGTCTGAATTGCTGTGAATAACTGAAAGCCTTTGAAAGGCAAGAATTTCCAATATTATTATTTCAGATCTACTTCCAGAATACATTAATTTGTTTTACTTTTCGTTTTAATGCACAGCATGGCAAACATCTGCTGAAAATTCCTGCCGTCTCCACCTCTGACATGTGCCAGATGAGTCTGAACAAGACTCTCCTTTCACTTTTGAGGTCCCCATTCAAGACCAAACATAACAATCTAAGTAGAAAAACCAAGTCTAAAATTAGGCCAAACTAGAGACCAGATGAACTCTATCTACCAATCTAAGCAGACACTTGATATGTTCTTTTTCTGTCTTCAGAGAAATGTATTTAGGAAAACACTAAGGAAAATAATATAAAGACAAAGCAGAAGCAAAGGAAAAAAAGTTATTGCTAGGAGGGATTTAGAAACAATCTCTTTCTGTGCTCTCAAGAGAGATGAAGAGCTGAGCATAGTCTTGGAAGTCTGTATGGCTGGTGGTTGGTAGCAGAGTTGGACCTAGAATACAGGGCTTCTGCCTGGACCCCGGTGTTTTCCTGTGACAATCAGGCCTTCCTCCCTGGTCATTCTCACAGCAGACTCCTTAATCTGATATTGACTAGTAAGTTAACTGCCCCCAGTTAGGCCAGCTCTATGGTAAGAAGGCTACTTTAATTGTCCACAGAGGACAACTCTGCCAGGGTATTTCAGCACCATTTAATAAACTGTCCAGACACTTTCAGTATCCTAAACACACCCTCATGACTTGACTTAGAAGAGACAGTAAAAAAAAATCACCTCTCATAACTGGATTGTCAAAGCTGAGTTTACTAAATACATAAACAGATCTATCGTATATTCATGGTATCTTATATATTTTATAACAAATAATTACACATCAGGAAGTTTATCAACCAGCTTTATTTTGCTAAAATAACATTTTAAAAATAAGTATTTTTGTTCTACAGTATCATGCATACAAAAACGATGCTAATTGTAAACTGGACCAAGTACAATTTCTCATCTCCTTATTAAAAGGTACAAATCCTTATTACAAATCACTTTATCTAGTTATTGAAGCATAATGCTATCTATCTATCTGTATAAAAATGGCATTTTCTTAAAGTTCTATATTTCAGGCAACCCCACAAAAACAAATACAATTCACCAATGTATTGAAAGCAAGTCAAAAGTTTAGACCACACTAACTTTTCAACACGATTTCAAAAAAATTAAAATTACCTGGTTGAACTAGGTATGGACATTCTTTGAGTGCTATCAGCCATGAATCTCAAGAGCCAAAGCCAATTGATTCAATAAAGGAAAAACCAAGATAGGAAATTTAATTCAAGTTTTAATTCATAAAATGTCTCTATTTCTTCCATGAATAAAATAAATTGGATAACAGTTATTAACCCAATTACAGGAAAGCACAGGTAGAGACCATCTAGTAGTCAATTAAAATGTCTGAATGCATTCATAATGCAAGCGTATTATGCTATTATCACTGCAGCCATTGTTTAAATGAAGTATTTGGTCCTCCAAGCTTCTGCAGATTCAAAAAATAAATTTGTGTCATCAAAACTGGCATCTAGAGGTCCTGAAATTATTGCAAAATCACAATAAGACTACAAGATGAAAAGTCCAATATGTTGTGTTACATATATTTTCTCTTTTACTCGACTGCAAGTTATGACAGTGAAGTACAAAGAACAAGCTTTCACAAATCAGCTTTAAGTTAAAAAAAAAAAAAAAAAGCCTCTTTGGATTAATATAAACAGCTAAAACATCCTAAAACATACAATCATTTGAATACTTGGCAAGATATGTTCAGAAACACTAAGAATTCATTATGCCAACTTCCTCTAAAAACAAAAATTAAATATTTATCTCAACCTTTAAAACTCCATAACAAGGAAAAGTGAAGATCTGAAATTTGAATACTTTTCAAAATGTGTTTCCATCAGTCCTTTCATAAACAAACAAATATTTTAAAAACTCTTAAAGGATATTGCTCACTCGTCATTACTCAAAATTTTCAGAATTACATGCATGGAAATTTCCAAGCCAAAGGATTATGAAAAACATGAGAACTTAGACCCAAAGTTTGTTGTGTTGTTAAGAGTTTTCCTTTTCTTTTTGGATATGCCACTGTAAGATGTAAGTCTCTTGCATTTCAGCAAAAAATATTAAACATCATTTTCCTACTTTGGCTCATCCTTGAGGAAAGTATTAGTCAGTCAAGAGGAGAACACATTTTGTCTGAAAAAGGGGACCCTGTGCTTCAGTTGTTTACCACTACTGGCGGTTTTTTGTTTTGTTTTTTTTTACAATGTAGAGAGATAAACTCAACAATCATCTATAATATACCTGTGGGTTGGAATTCAGTTACAGTGGCCTTGAAAGAGTGTTTTTTTTTTAAGAAACTAAAAAAACTTAAAATTCTGCATGAAGTTAGGCAGCTCTTTGCTGCACACTGTAATCTGACACTAGGCTGAAGAAGTTGACCAAGTTTAAGTAACCCAAGAGGAACTGTTTCCTGCTTTCTGTTAGAACAGTCTACAGTGACCTACAGTAACACTGCTGAGACAGAGGTTACTATCGGGCATTAGATGCTGCTATCAGGAAGTCAGTCTGGTCTTTTTTCTCTTTTTTTTTTTTTTTGTGGTGTGGCACTCATCTCAAGTGTTTGTAAGAATTCAACCCTGCTCTCCCATTAAGTTTATAAAGACAAGAAAAACAAAAAGAAGAGTGGGAAAATGAACCCAGGCCAAACAGGTAGTTCGCTTTCAACCTCAACAAAAGGGCTGTGCCATGAAAACTTAAGTTGTGAAGGAACTGACTCTACAGCAAAACAAATTTGCCTGTGAACATCGCTGGGAAGGTGCAAAGGCCCCTTCTAAATGGAATTAAAGGTATATTTGACATTGGTTTATTTAACATTGGGTTACTTTACCTAGTCTGCTCCTGTAGGATGAGATGAGGCTCCACGAAGAACTTGACTCTCAGTTTAAGCCGGTAAGGGGCTAGCCCATCCATCTGTTGAGAGATCCGGTTTCTCAGATTCAGCCATAAATTTTCACCTTTGCTACCCGTAAACTGCAGTCCAAAGTAATCAACTTCTATGATTCCCAATCGCCTGCACACCTAAAACAAAAATGAATGCAGCATGGATGAGCGAATGGTAATGCAGTCAAAGCAAACCCAAGAGCTCCACCTAAATCCTAGATTACTGCATACTTTTAACAAAGTTCAACGGTGTTTCAATTCCCGTTGCAAGCTGGAAAACCAAAGTTCTAAGGCTCCAGTGATACTAACCCCCTAGCTCTAGCATGTAGCCAGTATCTAGCTTTAATATCTAGGGCATGACCAATTGCAGCAGAGAAAAAGGAGTTCTCAAAACGAGGGGACGCTACAGGGTATTTTCCTTCCTATTCCAATCACCGGAATTCCCTCCACCAGCACAATCTGCATAGCTGATTTGGCAGCTTATTATCTGGACAGTTTTAACCATCTGGATTCCAAAAAACAAACACACTGAGGAAACACGCCACAAGTGTCAGCTAAGCTTTACAAGCGCTTTTCCAAACATCTCGGGTCTAGATGGTTTGAGGGAACAGCGTTTCACTGGATCAAATTTGCTGTGTGCCACACGAACCATGCACTGTTTGCAACCGACCTTCTTCCCTCTCAAGGAAACACATGCTTAAAGACAACCCAGCAGCGGATGACCCAAACCTACACTCTTCTCGTCCCCTGCAAATCCAGAGATGCAGGTGAATGGTCGACTTGAGAAGCAACATGAGACAAGGGCTCCGGCTTGTCTGCCAACGAACCCCGGGGCCAGAGACCGCTTCGAGCCACCCCATCCTGGGACGCGGGTGGCGCTGCCAGGCGCCGCAAGGATCCCACGGGCGGAATCACGCACACACCTGCAGCAGGTGTGCTGGGCGACCTTCTTCTGGGAAAGTGCCGGGCTGGGGGGCAGGGTGGCGGCTGCGGGCTCCGTGCTGTGCCCGTGCCCCCAGCGCTGGGGGTCCCCGCCGCGCGCCCCGTGAGCCGGGGAGGGG